CAGATGTTGCTCTAAACATAGCATTGGTAATAACTTATTACTAATAAGTAATAATGGCTGCAAAATAAAAGGTAATAAACCATATATTTTGAAAATGAAGCAAAACAACTTCAACCTCCCAGTCTATCTGCCTACGCCCCGATTCCACTGTATCCCATCCCTTAATAATAAAATGGTATGAAAACCAACATCTGTAGTTACAATAAAAGTAATGACGACCACGATGGTATTAAAGGTTACAGCTAGAATAAGAATGATATATTCCTACAATCCAGTGAATCATCTGATGAAATTGATCTCTTAGCCAGTCAACAGTGAACGTTCAGACAGCAATACCATACAATGAGTCAACTGTAACATTCGGGAGGTAAGTACATTTAAGTATTTTAATGCCACTTCATCGTCTTACCATGGAATTTACAGACATTTCTATTAGACCGAATTCAGCTGAGCTGGTGAGTCACAGGAAGAGTTGGTACAGACACATTTGAAGCCTCCTAAAGTTTTCTTAACATTATGTAAAACCCTCTCTGTTTTCCCACTACTCGAAAGATAATTTTGTAAAATGAGGAGATCAAATCTGCAAGTAACCTAACTCTACATTGAAATAAAAACGACGAAACAATATCCAGAAAAATACACTAAATTGACACAACTTGTCTGACAATGAGCTTCTACTCATTTTAAAAACGAAGTTAATGTATAACTCTTTCCGTAATCCTAAGAAATATCTGCTAAACTCAGAGTTCATTTAAAGATTTCGACTATATTATAAGCATGTGTTTATGATTCACTATCAACTAGTGATGATATCAGGTGTTCGCAAAAAAGTGTCCTGCCCAACAGGTGGCACTCGTCACAAACACATGCAAAGTCAAGTCAGAAAAAGCGCAGAATGTATATCTCAATTCTACATGTCCAAATAAACTGTTTGATGTTAGCGTCGCGACAAAGATTCAATGTTTTGAATGATTGTCGATCTGAATTAAGATAAAACCTATAGTATGTTGTACATATACTCACAAATTGTGTTTTCACATCAACATTTTTACGCGTACATGACAGTTTTTTAAAGTGTTTTTTAAGCATACATTCATGCATTAATATATTAAAATTTGACATATTTAGAATTAATATGACTGCCGAAAGAAAAAATTATCCAATCTAAATCAAATATTTGAAACTGCAAACCTTCCAATATGATAGTGAGTGAGTATGATTTTACGCCGCTTTTAGCAATATTCAAGCAATATAACGACAGGGGACACCAGACATGGGCTTCACACATTGTTCTCAAAATTAAATAGTTGCCAGGGTGGGTGTTGCATAAGGAAAAAGACACTTTGGGTTAAAAACTAATGCTGCATCTCTCCTACACCTCGTGAATGTGCAAATAACACTTCTGTTAATTCTTGCTTGAATATGAATATGTTTTGTGTACCGATGCGTCTTAGAAGTACTTAATGAAAACAAAGGTTCACGCATCCAATTATCTATATCCCCAAAACAGAAACCCAGTCGATGATTATTACTCAACTGGAAACATTAAATGGAAGACACACAACACATATCAACAACACTTAAAAAAGCTTTCTTCAAACCAATGGACAAAACGTGACGCTTCCACTGCCTATTTTTACATAGTGTCACCACTGATTTCCAGTGGCCCAATCATATAACGTTCCCAGATATTTTGCCCCGTTTATAAGGACTGGTTATTCTATTCTCTTGCATTGATGTTCTATATTTACCCTATCACAGAATCGATCTTACACACCAACAATTCCGACACAGAATGTCAAGGGACCCCTCACGACGCTGGGACAACATCGACGGGGAGTTGTGGCTGAAGTCCATGGTAACACAGCCGGTACTACAACCAGAATCAGGCGGACGGGGCGCAATGACACGCGTACAGGGGGACATCGCCAGTCAGGTATGCTGGGATTTCAATAAATTTGGCTGTGGCAGGGTCAACTGTAAGTACACTCACAAATGCGGTAAGTGTGGCAAACATTCCCATAGCTCTAGGACCTGCTTTCGAGGGAATGGGGTCCAACCGACCCCATACAAGCCCAATCAGCCTTTTGCCTAACAGAAAACCAGCCGTCAAGGCAGGTAAATTCAATGGCCCCTTCCCCCGTGGATCTCAATGAAATGGCACCCTGGTTACGCCAATATGCTAGGGTCAATTACAGAGATGCAAACTATTTATGGGTAGGTTTTAGCTCTGGCTTTAAGCTCGAGTTCCAGGGAAGCCGCACGGGTCGCCTGGCACGAAACTTGCGATCAGCCACGCACCAAGACACGGCAGGCTACGTGAAACAACACTACAAAACAAAGTCGACCTTGGCGACATTCAGTCGGCCTTTAGAATTATACCAGTCCACCCATCTGATTTCGAGCTGCTAGGCATCAGATTCGAAGGTGAGTTCTAGTTCGATAAATGCCTACCATTTGGCTGCTCCATATCTTGCGCCATATTTGAAACGTTTAGTACCTTCTTGCAATGGTGCATGCAATCGCATCTCCCAACGTGTCCGATCATGCATTACCTGGATGACTTCCTAACGGGGGGCACAGCAGGCACCAGCCACTGCTCAGACAACCTCAACGGATGCCTGAATACACTAGAACAGCTTGGGGTTCCTACTGCGCACGACAAGACGGTGGGCCCCACAACCAAACTGACATTCCTAGGGCTGGAAATCGACACCATTGCAATGCAGATCAGAATCCCAGAGTCCAAGATCAAGGAGGCAACAAGGGAAATCCAAGACATCCTGTCAACAGGTAACATCAAGGTCACAAAAAGGGCCCTTCAGTCCCTCATAGGCAAGCTTAACTTTATGTGCAGGGCTATACCAATGGCAAGGGCATTCAGCCGAAGGCTAACCGATCTGCTTAGCAAAGGTAAGCAACCATTTCACCACATTAGGATTACCAGCTGGGTCAAGGAAGACCTACAAATGTGGTTAACATTTCGTACGAGTTATAAAGGCATTTCAGTGTTTCAGGACCAACTATGGGTGGACAGCGATTTCCTCCAGCTGTTTTCAGACGCAGCGGGTGGCGCCAGCTTCGGGGCCTACATGCAGGGCAAATGGTTTAACGGCGCATGGCCACCCCAGTGGGTGACGGATGGAACTACACGGGACTTGACGCTACCTTGACATGGTGGCATCAATCCTTCGGAAATACAACCCCAGCTTCCTGACACCAAGATCATCGTATCCTCAATGCTGCACAGGCGCTACTGGCACGATGCCAGGGACCCACTAAAGATCGAGGGGATGCGGAAGAATATCAACCGTCGACTGGCCAACCGAGTCAAAGAGCTCGGCGGTACAATGGTGCCACATCCCCAGATCCTGGCATCAGACAAGACATGGTACGCCTGGGAGGGCGTCCACCTCAGTGACAAAGGACTGTGTGTGTTTACGGACAATTTATTGCATGCCCTGGCGCTTGTTATCTCCACAGGTTTGTGTTTCCTTTCAGTACATAGGCAAGCCGGGCAACAATGCTATCTCCGCGTATCGCGTGGCCGTGGGTGTGGGGTAGCACTCTGGTGCTTTGTGGCGGGGTTCTTGTGGGCTACACTGCTAGTAACAAATTAACTTGCTTCCAAATTAATACTCGTGCTTAAGGCTACCTGCTTTTCAGCGGGAACCTTTCCGGGGTTACCTGCTTCTCAGTGGGAACCTTGTCTTTCCCGACTTTTCAACCGGGGAATCGTAAAATAACATACGTTGGGGCAAACAATTGCCACGTATATGGGCCCGGCGGCGGAAGTCGTCTTGTCAAGCGGTAGCTGACAGTTGGGTCCGCGGCGTGGGAGCCGCACAATGGTTTTGCTAATGGGGCCGGGCAGTGGGATCTGCTTTGGCCGGCTACCTGGGGCCGGGCAGCGGTAGTCTGACTTAGGCCAGCAGCGTGGAGCTGCTTTTGGCAGCGTGGGAGTTGCCAAGCAATGGTAGCGGTTAAATATGCTACCGTGGGGGCCGGACAGCGGAAGCAGTCTCAGGCCAGCAGCGCTAGCTGCAATCGCCGTTGGCCACGCGCGTGGCCATGGCAACGGTAGCATTTTGGTATACACAATTAGCAGCTAAGTAGCCCACTAGTACCTGCACACCCTCGGCCATTTAACCCAATCTCATCTTCTGTTTTTATTTTAGGCACGGGCATCCACGGCTCGGTGGCCCGTGCCTCTCCTTGGCATATCGCGGGATAAGGACTGGTTATTCTATTCTCTTGCATTGATGTTCTATATTTACCCTATCACAGAATCGATCTTACACATAGTTTAGATATTTACCGCACAAAACCTCGTACCCACCCGACCTAAACAGAATGAAGCTCCGACATGTTTTGTTTCCATACCAAAACCACGTGTCAAAGACGTTTTCAAAACATTTTTACCAGCGAAACCAGCTACGAGAAATAGGTTTCCTGTAATCTCTTCACATGTATAATGTTATGCATATGCGCCCCACGATGTTCTTGTATTAGAATCAGTAAGGCTGCATGTTAGTTTCATAGTAAAATGTCATAAATACAAAATATTTCGCTAACACAGAACCTCTGAAAATTTAATAACCCGAGTCTAATACCGTATATTTCCATGCATTAATCGACAAAATGACATGACGTCTCATTCTGGTACATTTGCAGGCTATAAATTGATAATTAGACCAGTAAAATGTTGATAAGCCTAAAATCAGTTTCTCTATCGCGATCGTATCACAAATACCAATGCAAGATGTGGAGATGCGAGATGTAAATGTCCATTTACCACTCAGGGGCCTTGATTAGATCGAGTCATCATCACGATCAAGGCACCAAACTGTGGCCCTCCGCTGGGATCAGTCCTTGTTTCTTGTTGTTAGCAATACAAGCGACAATGTGCAATAAACGCAATCATGTTTTATCAAGTTTATATCTATGCCATTGGACGTATATATATATATATATATATAGCCCTAGGAGGAGTATGCCATCACACTGGTTGTGTTCTGCACGAAGCTGACAGTATGCAGTCACTAGTCATCCAAGCTATACTGATCGCCCTCTGCGTTGTACATGCAGGTATGTATTTACCACTCACACTCTTTACTTTTGCAGAACATTTGCTACAAAGCTTATTATTTATGAAAATGCAACATTCATAACCCAGAAAATTTTACTTTTATATCAAATAATATATGTTTGGAGTCAAAGATATATAAGTGTATAACGGTTTGCGAAGATAGTGAATGATACCCATGTCATATATTTGATGATTCAAGACGACACGTACAATCCCAATTTTTAGGATCATTGCTGTATTTCAAAATACATATTTGGGATGGAAACTATACTGCTGGTTTAAGAATATAACTCTATGAGTAGATTAACATGTAGTCACATCTGTATGGAGGGTGGATATATTTGGAGGTTAGATGACACAACATCGTGGTTTTAACGTTGTTATATATTCAGGTATTTTTTTATCATCATTTACATCATCTCCGTCTTTGTGACAGAGTGCGGAGGAAGCAGGACGCCATGTGCCTTTATTTCACGATCATCTAAGAGCAAAAGATACATGGAACCTGTCTACAGAAGCAGGTATGTCTGCTTCTGAAATACAAGTAGAATGAGTGCATGTAAATATAAACATTATTTAAAGAAAGTATGTTTCTTATACCCTTATATAATTATTTTGTGCAAAAGTGCACGTTTATGCCTCTATCGGAGCTTAACCACCTGTAAACATTTTCAAAATAGTATATCCAACAGTAAAATGTGATTTTTTAATCTTGAGGCATTAAATGCCTCGGCTGTTATAACATCACAAATTTCTCTTCTTACTTGGACGTTCTGGTTTCATGTGTTATGACAAGATCGAGTGCTTTTACGTGTTTAAGAGGAAACAAATGCCCTGTCAAATACATACGTTTAACTCAGGCGAGCGACCTGCGACTCAAGTGACACCTATAGGACAGCTGATGGCACGTGCAATAACGTGGACAATTCGGGCTGGGGAGCTGCAGGTGCTCAACTTGCGAGGTGGCTGGAACCTGAGTATGCTGACGGTTAGTGGCTGTTTACTTGTCTACATTTCTGAAAATGTTTTTGTTTTTATTAGGACACTCAGTATTTATGTAATGCCTATGCCGTATCGTTACAACGATATCTACATATCAAATGACGATAAAGTTTCAAAACAGATTTAGTAATATTGACTGAGATTGTGAGTGAGTGCCACAACAGTGTCCAACTTCTTAATTACCATGAATCATTTTACTTTAAAAAGTGCAAGTATTAAAGTGACTTTATGAGTGAGTGAGCGAATGAGTGAGTAATGGGTTCCACCACTTTAAGCATCGCTTAACCACGTAAGCCATCATTCTCATTTGATCAGATGCACCAGTTATATTTGTCATATCCCGCAATAACAGTTTCTGATTTTACACAGAAAAATATCAAAACTATAGGAAATGTTTTAACAAGATTCTGTAGAGTCAGGAAACGAAACCAATGATCTATCGGTTTACAAGGCGAGGATACGCCAGGCCAAACAGAACTGTATATTTAAACAAGATGACAACAACGAAGAGATATTTCTGCTGTATATTTACAGCAATGGGAAACCCCAGAGCTCTGGCCACTGATGGCTCAGACCTGCCTAACCCAAGAAGCATCAGCAACCATGTTCACTTTGAGCTGAGTTTCCTTTCCATCAAACACTCCGTCATGTTGATGCAGTGGGGTCAGTTTATTGACCATGACATTACGGGAACGCCGGTAGTTACAGGTGAGTACCACTTTTATTTCCCTTACGTTAGACTATTTGATTAGTAGTATTGATACGTTGTATGTTATTTATTGGTCAATTATCAGTTACATTTTGAAGTGTATGAAGCTTTTGGAATCTTGTTTTCTTTTGAATTCTGAAACAAATCACACACATTTCATGCCTGGGCTGTTTGTTTTTGTATATATCTTCTGGACAAACATCAACATTCTTTGTTTACAGATAATGGGAACGATATTGAGTGTTGCGACCGAACTGACTCTGTTCCGAGCGAGTAAGTTGTATTTTATCTATTATACAGAACACAACATTACACAAGACAGTATGATTATACTGCTCAATTACTATTCATAGTACTTACTGTTAAAAGCCATATCACGTGGCAAACATTAGCACAATCAGATTGGATTAATGTACTATCTACAAATCACACAAAATATAAAGGAAAAATCAAGTCTGTCCTCATGTCATCAGCACGGACTCTCCATGTTTCCCGATCAACCTTCCTGATGGTGATTTCTACTTTGGCGATGGTAAATGTATGAACCTGGTGAGATCGGAGGCTGTTTCCGGAACAGGCACGGATTCCTCAAGTAAGTATCTAATGAAGAGTTAAAACTCAATATTGATTTGATTTGATTAAAGTCGGCCTTAAATTAGTAATGCATTCTTTAAACTGAAAAACGGTTTGGGAAACATTTTATGTGAAGAAAAACCTTTGCTGAAACCTCATAAATATAACCTTGCACAGTAAAGGTATCTCAGAATTCTCTCCTCCCAGATCCACGACAGCAGTACAATGAATTGTCCGCCTTCATAGACGGTTCCCACATCTATGGCATCTCAGACTCGGAGACGGCCGAGCTCAGAGACACTGACTCTGGATGTAAGTTGCAGGTTCTGATTTCATCATAATGGTTTAAATTTGTTTTACACACACACACACACACACACACACACACGCACGCACGCACGCACGCACGCACGCACGCACGCACGCACGCACGCACGCACGCACACACACACACACACAAAACAAAAACAAACACACACAAAAACAAACACACATCATAACGGTTTAAATTTGTAATATATATATATATGTAAGTTTATGACATGTAATCCATCAAAAGACATTCAATGATTTGCTTTTCCTTTTAATGATTCATTGATTAATTAATTAATTGAATGCATTACTTACAATTGGATTTCTATATTTCGGTACTAATTCGCCAATATGGGTGTTTTTCAGCTGGATTGCTGAAAGTGGGAACAAATAATCTTCTTCCGGAAGGAGATTCAGGCGACTGCTTTCTTGATACTTCTGATCCAAGCAACTACTGTTTCAAAGCAGGTTGTTACAAACAAGAGAAACGTATATCCTGACAGACGTTTGTGTAACATGAAGATTTGTTATTTCTGATGATTTTCAATGTTGATGATACAGGCCTTCTTTAATCATTTAACAAATATATCGTGATATCATGCGGGTATACTGCATTGTATGCGCAATATAGCATGTTGCACACTAACAAGAATATGTGCCATATCAACTATTTGGTTGATGTTAGACGAGTTCTATTGATGAACAACTTCTTTATTACAATTAGTGCGACGTTTCGGTTAGGATCTACACCGAAACGTCGCACTTATTGTAATAAAGAAGTTGTTCATCCATAGAACTCGTCTTACTTCATCACACCAACTTCTAAATGCAACTGAAAGATAAAATATTTGGTTGTTACGATTTCTTCTAAAGTAATGTGGTCAGACGCTTGTACTCAAGCTTCAAAGGCATGCATGTCATTGAAGGAATTGTTTAAAAAATAGGTATAAATTATGTTCAATAGCATGTTTCATTTTTAATGCATACTTGCACATGTTGTACTATATGGTTCGGAAATATGGGGAACAAAATATGATGCTGCCATAGAAAATGTAGACACCGCATATTTCAAACGTTTTTAGGTTTTGCTTAATGTGCCTCAAATGAAGCACTTCTTAGTGAAACTAGACGCTGTAATGTATGTGTACATAGTCAGGTTAGAATAGTTAAATGAGAACAAAGTTACTGAGAATGGAACAATGCAGATATCCACTTCAATGTAAACATAACCTGGTTTCTGAAGTAAGGAGAACTTTCATGTGATTCTTTCTTCTGTATGGAATCCACAGGATGTTTGTCACATTCAAGTATTGAGTATTGGAAAAGTTATCAGCGAGAGAACGATCTCTTTGCATGACACTGCTATCAAACTGTTTCATCTTCACGCGATCTGTGCAAATATAGTAACTTAAAAGTCACACCTTCAACGTGAAATGTATTCATCTGTCTTATCATAGAAATGATGTTAATGATAAATGTTTTCAACTCACAAAATAAAGATATGATCCTTTCTGTGGCTACTTATATATTACATGTTTTAATATCAGATTCACGTATAATTTCTGTATATCCATGTGTCAATATGGTATAACTTAGTTTCAACTGCACCGTCGGCAATCAGGCTATAATACTGTCTGTCTGTCTGTCTGTTGCAAGTGATATTGTATTTTTTACTCAAGGTGACTCGAGAGTCAATGTCTTCCCTGGACTTACGGCACTGCACACTCTGTTCATGAGAGAACACAACCGTGTTGCAACAGCTCTCAAGGGCTTCAACAGTGGCTGGGATGACGAGAAACTCTTCCAACAAGCAAGACGAATAGTTATTGCGGAATTACAGGTTAGGTTTCTATTCCGTACACAAATGCATCAGAACGATCAACATATTCAACAGTGCATGCACATAGTATTAGCGTCTGTTGAATCAACAATGGCAACTGATAATATGCCCCATAACAGTCAATGGCATGTTGAAAACAGTAATTAAGATTTACATAACTCTACTTTTCCTTTAAATGTAAGGTTAAAAGTAAACATTTGATGAAAATAACTGCATATCGTATATACCATCAGGTAATAACATACAATGAGTGGCTGCCTGAAATCCTTAGTGCCAATGGGGTTGCAAACTACAACCTCGGATTCGACAACTACAACTACAATTCCAGCCTCGACCCCTCTCTCAGTAACGTCTTCTCAACGGCGGCTTTCCGATTTGGACATTCAATGGTGCCAGAAAACCTTACAATAGGAAGCGAAGTGGTAGACACTGGTGACCTGTTCAAGAGGACAAAATACGTCATCAACAGCCTGGATGACGTCATCAGTAGTTTTCTGGGAGCTGCAGGTGAACGTGCTGATGCGTGGTATGTCGATGGCATGAGGCAGAGAATGTTTGAGGAGGATTCAGACACAAAGGACGGTTTTGACATTGTGAGTCTGAACATTCAGCGAGGAAGGGAACATGGCCTCCCTCCTTACAACGACTGGAGAGAATACTGTGGTCTCGACAAAATTACCTCCTTCACATCTGGTACTGACTTCGGAGGTATTCAAGCTCGCGATCTTCGGGATATATAGTAAGTGTTTAGCTATTCTTTGAAAATGTGTCTTTTGCATATTTGATCCGTGTAATTTAAGTAACATGTTCCGTGACATTTTCATACCAAATTAGTGCTTAGAGCAACTGATCTTTGAAGACGTTTACAATTCAAGTACAATGTGACCTTCCTCATTCAGTAACAGCGTGGATGACATTGACCTGTACAGTGGAGGTATTGCTGAAGTTCCGTTTGCTGGAGCAGCTGTGGGAAGAACTTACATCTGTCTGATCGGCAAACAGTTCGAGAAACTAAGGGATGGGGACAGGTTCTGGTTTGAATCTACAGACTCCGTCACTGGCTTCACGTCTGGTAAATACTCGCAGACTGTGTGTTTTCTTGATTGATTAATTGTAGATGTCATAACATATAAGTTTTGATGTCTTCATTTCAATTAAAAAGCAAGAACTTCAATTGTAACGTTTCTTTGTTTGAATTCAGATCAAATAACGCAGTTGAAAAGGGCGTCATTAGCTCGAATTATCTGTGACAATGCCGACAACTTCAGCACCATCCAGCGGTCAGCCTTCCTCAACGTTAACACTGGAACTGCGTATGTTGAGTTCAAATATCCATGTGACATGTGTTTTCGGTTCAGTTGAAAGGACATTATTGCTGTGTTTTGAACTGTTACATGTCAATTGATCTACAAATGCAGTGTCCTAATGTTAATGCTAATTCTCATGTCTATATTTGATGATACGTGTTATCTATAATGTTTTTGTAGCAACCGATGTGACTTCAGTTTTGATATGGTCTAATAATGATTTGTTTTATCATCAGAAACCAGGAGGTGAGTTGCACTAACCTGAAGGAAGTGAAGCTTCGAAGATGGAAGGAATAACTAGCAGCATGCCCATACGACGTTGTGTCAGCACTGTTAATAAACACTTGAACTTGTATCTGTGTCTTTGTCATATTTGCATAAAGAAATCTTACATATTAGGATGTGTTGGGGGTTCAACTATCTATTGCTGAAGGTGAATATGAATATAAGTTCGTCTACGTATAAAAACAACCAGTTTTGATTAGCCTATCCATTGATGTGATTCCACTGGGCTTTAATTCAAAATAGAAGTCAAAATTATATGAATAGATGCCTGAAAATCGGTGATGGCACCAGGTTTTATATGTGGAGGAAACGACATAACATTTCCCTGCCTTAAGTGGAATTAAGTGATGAATTTATGCTGAAGTAATTATTTTCTAAAAACACCTTTATAGTTGACTCAACTATTCAATAATATACTAATATTCTAAGAGCTGACATAGGTTGTATGAGTTTATGAACATTGTGAATGTGACCAAAACAGGATCACATCAGAAATCCGCGAGACATGCTCACCTGTGAACTGACGTCACAACTACACAGGCCCGGTAATGACAACAGGACAAACCAGAATGTCATTATCTGTTGTGATCCCCACGAGTATTGATGACAGCGTGACGGCGAAGGCTCATTGGGGCAAACAGGATCCTGAATAACGCGATGAGTAAAGTTCTGTCATACTTGCTGAAGTGGCACATGCAGTGCTTGGAGTGCGAGTGGTGATGGATTTCGTTGGCGCACAGGGCGATCCAAAGCATTCCACAGATGATCAATCATGGACAAATCAAGTGATCGAGTTGGCTATAGTACATCTGTACGTTTTTGTGCTGTAGGAAGGCAAATTAGACAAGCGCAATATGAGATATCTACCTCTACGTTTACTTAAATATTTTTGTCTACGGGCAGTTAGTGTGAAGAAGTTATTTCTTATTCCAGGCCTTAAACCTGCTTGTTATCAATATATTTTGTTATTATTTTCGACCCATATTATCATCTGCAGTTAATTTGCGTTGCAAATATCTTCTTGCACTGTTAAAACTGATACCCCTGTTGTTATTACGATCATTTCTTGGGTCATTTATATAAATGGACACTATTATACCTTTATTCCAAGCACATGGAAACTGGCCTGCTGAAAACATCCTATTAGATAAAGTATGAAGGTACATGTATGACATCATTATGTTTACGTGATGATTTGAACATTTCTGGTCAGAAGATATCTAAACCTGATATCATTCGTTTAGACGTCCATCGGCACGTCCGGGTACAAGGTGGGACTCATCTGTGAACAGAACGGTCCTCCGTCTCACCGTCAGCGTCCGCGTGCTTTAACTATGCTGTATTACGCTTCGGGCAAAACAATACTATATTACACTACGGGCAAAATTATACTCTATTCCATTACGGGCAAAGACAAAACTATGTATTATTACAGTACGGGCAAAACTATACTTTATTACACTACGCACAAAACTATACATTATTACACTACGGGCAAAACTATACTTTATTACATAATGGGCAAAGACAAAACTATACATTATAACACTACGGGCAAAATTATACTCTATTCCATTACGGGCAAAGACAAAACTATACTTTATTACATAACGGGCAAAACTATACTTTATTACACTACGGGCAAAAATACATTTTATTACACTACGGGGAAAAGCGTAGGCCAAATGGGAAGTAGGCCAATGGGGAGGACACCTTATGCACTACATGGGCAACAATGAATCTACAGGGTGCAGCCACTACCAGCAGCTCAATCACCGCACTATAGCGCTTCCGTTGTCTCGTTATACTGTTACCGTGGATCATGCTTCAATGCACCTGACTTACCCCATGGGTCTTTGGGAAGTTGACACTCCTTTCCGATCCAAAACGGCTTTTGGGTCTTAAGGAAACTGACACGTCTGTATGATCAAACTCCCCTTTTCGATCCGTAGGGTTAGGCTGGTTAGGTCTAGGGTTAGCCATACATTTCTACCTTTTCACAGTGTTTCCAATATTCCAATCCGGGTAATCCGATTAGAGTCCGATTAATCCGTTTGAACACGTTTCGTCTCACCGCAGACTATTCACTTTGATTGGCAACAATAGTTTGTGTGGCTTACTCAGAAAGATGATGGGGAGGGCGTGAGGTCAATAACATGCATGCGCAGTTCATTGTTTACTTAATTACGTATGCGTGTGGTGTGATAATGGCCCGTTAAACGCGCACTGGTGACATATGATGGCCCTCGTGGTTTATGACCGAAAACGTTCCCTTATACACCTTGGCCTACCTGTCATGGCTTTAGGACCAAAACTGTTGGTAGAAACTGCCCTTGTCTCTTCTTCATATAACCGAATCAAAATGTTGACATGATTCTCGCACAGGATTTCTTTAGTCCGTTTCTGCAGACGTTTTCTACCAGCATTATGCTGTACCGACTCTCTGGGACACTGTAAGTGAATGAATAAAGGTGGTTTTGTGCCGCTTTCAGACATATCCTAGCCATATCAAATCACACGATAGGCGTTTCAAACATATCGGGATCGAAGTCAGGTCCTCGGCCTGACAAGTCAACGCTTTAACTAAAAGACTACCCTATCGTTCCCATTTCATGAACAAGGGGAGATTTTAAATCTGTTCCCAACAATCACACATATGTTTTATATATGTATATTGGAATGCATAGTATAGCTCATAAAGTTCACACCGGCGCGTTTCAAAATCCATATGTGGGACATTCAACCTTCATTAGCTGGAGATATGAATCATTTATTAATATATTTCAATGTCTTGATCTTATCAAATTCCCGACTTGTATAAGCAAAATAAGATCCATACTTCTCTCACCTATTTCGCATTCTCCAGAAAGTTTCCGGAGTCGACATGTACGAGGATTGAGCTCTCTGATATGTGCTGAGTTTTCGCAGAATATAAGGATCACTGGCGACATAAAAAGACTATCGTCTGGAATATAGACTATGGGGCAAAAGAAAGTATACACTTGAAACTTGGATTAACTAAATAACAACTATAGTAGACCGAAAACAGTCGCCGAAACACTTAAGGTCCAAAATATAACTGTTATAACTTCATCAAATGCATAAACATCGAATTACCATTCCTTGTTGTTTCATTTTGTAGGCACCATCAAACATGGCTGGATATTTTCTTTTCCCCAGCAATTGATAATTCACGCAGAAATTTTGTGATAATCCCGTTTTACAAAAGTGAAAATGATGCAATGAGGAAGATAAAATAAAGTCCTTGTATTAGTTCTTTGAAAGCAAAATTAAATGGCTCCAAATAAATGAATTATTATATTTCTGTATGCGTCGTACGCTTGTCCCCGTAATGTTATACGTGTTATCGTGACGTGAGAATGTTAGATTGCCCTATGACACCATACTATGTTAGAGTGCACCGTGACGTCAAAGCAGCGTCAGGGTATTTATGTATTCTTGTAAATCACATTCGTGAAATAAGTTGAGTAAATTATACAGCTCATCTTTGGACTTTTGTATAAATATCAGCAATATGTTAAATGATGTCTTTTATGTATTTTCTGGCGAAACATATCTTACTGTTTTCAGATTTGTAGGGATATTCTAACAATTGATGAACCCTCCCCTAACGCCGAATGTCAGGGCATAAAATACTCAGTAACACCTTCCAATCTGAAAACACTAATAATAATATTTCCACAAATCAGGTCTAGTTCTAAGTAAAAGGGGACTATGGTCCACGATGCCTGTATAGAATGTTAAAATTGATAAAATTAATTATTCTGTGAATCAAAGACAGTGTGTCTGTGTTATTATTGTGATCAGTGGTCATCAACAATTATACTGGCTGACAAACAAATTGGTGTTCAGACATCTCAGACAGAACTTGCACGGGCTGCCGTTGTGCTCGAGCCTAGTCACAATTTAAGGTCAAAAACATGGATGCAGGCGGGAGCTCTTCACCAAGCACAACGAAGAAAATTTAAATCAATCTTAATTATATATTACTGTGCAACGATTCCAATTATTTCTTGTCTTCCAATTACATATGTTGCCTTGATGGTTTGTACACGGAAGACAGCTGTCGTGATTTCCACATGTGGCAGATTCACACATGACCGCTGAGGTTTTGATCAAATGAGTTAATCAACAAGATAACCTGTACATTTAGAATCCACTGATGTCAGTCAAGGTACGTGCGTTCGCTTGCGAACATGTGTTATATTGAAATCAGTTGAAGGTATGAAGCGTTACGTTAAGTTATTTCGTTGGTTAAATATAATTTTGCTCAAGCCACGTCATTTAATGAACATATTTTGAAATGTCAGGGTTATAACCTGGCTCTTCCACTATTGACAATGAATTACTATCAAATATTGATGATACCAGGTAAACGTGAAAAGGTGAGCATATTTTGCACCACCGGTGGCTCTCATCACAAACACATGCAAAAGTCTCCTGAACAAAGGCTGGAATGTTGCATCAGCTATTTATCCCCCGCTCAATTCTGATCAGGACACAATGCTACTAATGTAAGGCAAGGAGAAGGTATGACGGTATAGGCTTAATTTTTGGAATGATGAAAGCTAACACACGTGAATGAAAATGGGACTTTTTGCGGACACCGTGCGTCGACGATTGACGGGCAGACACCTCCACTGTCACAGGCCGCCGAGGACCCATTCTGACACCACGTCATCGACGGGACCGTCTTCAGTGGGCAACACAGCACCAGCATTGGCGCCACCAGCAGTGGAGAGGAGTCCTCTTCTCCGACGAGAGCCGTCACTGTATCTCATCAGCAGATGGCAGAGAGAGAGAGAGTCTGGCGACGCCGTGGGAAACGTTATTCGGATGCTTTTGTTGTTGAGAGAGACTCGTGGGGTTGTCCGAGCATCATGGTGTGGGATGGAATTGGTCTTGGACAGAGGGTCGGCCCTTTGGACTTCCAGAACATCGGTCCAGGGAGAGGCAAAGGGGTCACAGCAGCTCGGTTCTCTGATCAAGTCTTGAGACCACACGCCATACCTCCTCTAGCACGTCGCCGCAACAACGAGTTTCAGCATG